TTTTCTTGTTAGTAACGGTAATGGTGTTGTAACGACAGAAATAGAAATTAGATTACTAGTTACTGAAAAAAAGTAATACCGCTACTTTTAACACCATTATTCTCATCACTGTTTATGATGCATGTGTTTTTCAGTGCACAGCCTGCAGATTGCAACCATGTTGTGCTGAGGGATTATAAACCTATGTGCACCTGGAAGTTTCTTTGTGTTGAAGTGTGCAACGTTTGTAGTGTTTTTGGTCTTTGTGTCATGAATTTGGCTGTGCAGCAGGCGGGAAAGGTCCCAAATGCAGACTCACGGAGGCAAAAGTAACTCAAACAGAGCTTTATTGCCAGACCAAAGGAAATACAAACTAAACTGGAAATGTATATGAACAAAGGACACAAAGAGGCACACAGGGAAACGCACAAAAATAAGGGAGATCGCAACACAGGACCAAGGGAGAAGCTGACATAAAAACACAGAAGGATAATGAGGAAGTGAGAACACACGGGGAACACACTGACACGAATAAACATGATGTCACAGGGGAAGCATACCAAACATGGAAACACCGGACTTTCACAGTATAGGAAACTGAGGAACATGACACACGAATAGAGGAAAGGCAGAGGAGAGGGAGCAAGGGAACACAAAGGAACATGAGGGGGACAGAGAGAGACTCTGAAAAAATGGATGAAACACGAGGAGAGGAACAAGTCACAAGAACTCACACAACCGATTTAAACAAAGACACACAGAAGGCAAAGACACAAGGGGAAATTACTAAATAATCAATGAACTAAACAGAACAATTTAGGCAATGTAGGAACGAACTCAAGACAAACCAAATGAACTTAGCCATAAACTATAAGACAAAATGACATAAAAATACAACAACACAAAACACTGGGTCACATGACCTGGGACCACGACACTTTCTTCACTTTGTCTTTTGTGTTTATTTATGTTCATATTTCTTTTAGTCATTTTGAATTCTTTGCAGATGTTTAATTGTCTAACTAAATGTTTTAAATGCCTCATTATTAAATACTTAATACAGCTAAAGAACAGCAACTTCTTCAACACCTCCACCAGAAGTTCTTTTGCAGTGCTCCACAGAGATAGAGTCAGCTCCTATGTTGAGTTAGGCATACTCTCCCTGTGCCTGCCTCGAGTTCATGTACTCAGGCTTCCTCCCACAGTCCATAAACGCACATGCTCGGTTTATTGGTGATTCCAAGTTAGCTATAGGTGTGTCTTTTTGTGTGATGGAGCGGCTACCAATCCAGGGTTTACTCTGCCTCTTATTCACTGACAGATTGTTCTCCAGCTCTCACACAACCCTGAACTGGATAACTCGTAATGATGGATATTTACTCAGAATTCACTGTGAGCATCTTAACATCAGTTATTGTAACACTGAATCCTCAAGGCCCAGTTTAATTCATTTCAGATGCAGAAGAGAGCCTCACGGTGATTAAAGAAATTAGAGAAAGATGCTGCAAAGTGCAGTTACTTATATATGAAATCCACCAGATATACACATGCAACACATAATCAGCTGAAACCAATGCGATACAATAAAAAATATTCTTTAAAAAATTACATTTTAAAAACCGGAGAAAAACATTTCAGGTACAAGTCTGATCAGTTTACATCTGTTATTAAAACAAAGTTACAGACTCAAATGCCAGATATGCTCATAATCTGGTATTTATTTTTCTGAACAGAGTGCAGATAATAAACATAATCACCCTGAGAAGTGTCACATTATAACACCCAGGAGAAACACTCTCAGGCTATTGAGCTGTGCACTCATGTGCAGTGAGAGGGCGCTGTGGTTGTTTTTTTATACTTGGTCTCCTCTCACTAGGCGTAGACTCGCATCTGGCGGCAGACCTCGTTTCTCCAGTTCTTCTTTAATCTGCAGCAGGAAACACGCAGTGGTGCTAATTATTACTGTCACTGTTACGAGTACTTCTGACAGATGAAAAGGGACTCACCTTCTGTATGATGACACTGTTAACGTTGTCTGCAGTAAAAGGCAATGAGAAAGAGATCCTCGCACTCAGGGCAGCGACATAAACTAGAGACAAAGTAGAGGTGTGTTTAAAAATTAACTGAAATATGAAGCGAGTGCAGAAAAATGATGAAGGAAATCGGCAATGGCATTTTAAAAGGTGACTAACGAAAATCAGGAAAAACTCAACTCACCCTCTTCAACAGTCACAATGACGCATCGAAAGTCAGAGTGATACTTCGCTATACTGTAAAAAGTAAATCAGCCCCATTAGTTTTATGTGGTAAAAATATGTTTTATATATTTTAAAATTCCTGTTTAAAGCAGCATATAAAGTGTACATGTGATCACACAACCTTGCAAGCACGCAACACAGTATTTTATTTATGGATGTAAGTGAGGCTTTCTCTGTTTTATAGTACTAAACTGGAATTATGCACATCTACTTTTTTTTGCTAGGTCTTTCTTTTGTTTTCCTGTTTAAAATGTATTTTATTTATTTATTGTTTTGGTTTATTTATTTAATTATGTTGCTAGGAACTGAAGAACTGAGAACTCAGTACCACTGTTATTGTCTATGTCCACTGATTCCCGTTAGTGGGTTTTTTTTCCATAAACATGGGTGTAATTCACATACTTGACTTACTTACGTCCTTACAAACGTGGCACATTAAGGCACAGTCAGGCTTTCCAGCATTAAAGTTTATGAATGCATCTTGACAAAAGAAACAAATTCACAACTTTCAGATATGATAACCTCATAAAAGCCAACACGGAGGTCACCAAAACACTACAATTAAAGCAGAGTCCAACAACCAATGGTTCACTTCCCAGAGGCTGCATCCATCTTTTATGCTGTTTAATGTTGCTTTTTTTTACTTTTCAAATACTGCTTACAGTGTTGTATTTCTCTATGGGATAATATTTATGGACAACATACTGACCCAGAAACTGCCTGGACAACAAAACAGATGGGGTGGCTTTCTCCCGCTTCGCTCTCAGATGGCGTCCACATGAGGATGAACTCTTCTGGTCCTGTTTTATTTTGAAATATAGTGTAGGGCCCACTGTAGAGCAGCTCAGAGATCCTTCAACAAACAGAATACATAAGATTTCTACATTAAAGAAGATTAAAGTGTTTTTCAAAAGGTTTGAAAGCTGCAGTAGATAAAATTTTCATGTGTTGCTGTTTTTTTCCACTTTAAGCCTTTTTTTTTACAACTTAAATGTAGTCAAATCAACATTTATCAAGTTTTTTATGTATCTGAATTAGTGCTGTCAGCGTTATTCTCGTTAAAATGACGTTAATGTCATAACTGCATTAATGTGGCAAATCTCGAGGGCTGCATGGCGCCAATGCGTTAGCACGGTTAACGCGTTAGCTCCTCGCAGTACCTCGCATGGGGCAATCCGTGTTAACTCGCTAACAGAGATTTGCCACGTTAATGCAGTTATGGCGTTAACGCCATTTTAACGAGATTAACGCTGACAGCACTACTCTGAATGTTAGGTGGTATTCAAGTTTGTGCTTGGTCTTGTCTTTTCCTGTATCACATTTTGGAGAGTATAGAAAGTCTTCCAACGGAGAGTGGTATTTCTTGTCCAACCACTGCCAGTAACAAAACCTATCTTTAAACTTTGGCATTCTAATTTTGTTTTCTCTTTCACGTACATGGTATTTGTTGCCTCTGCTTTGATGCTGATTTCTAGAGTTTGTCCAACAGGGGTATATAGCTGAGCTCCGTTGGCTGGAGTTGGAGGCAGGAACTTGGGCAGATATAGTCCGTCTGTGCAGGATGGCACTGCAGGATCCACTAAAATATTACAGAAAAGAAACAATGTTCAGCCGGTCTTCATAGGATGGAAATGAAAACTGATCCATCAGATGGTCCAAAGTAGAATATCTGTTCAACTATTGCTCCTGAAGATTGTGCCTAATATTTTTGGTAACAGACTGCAACACTGCAACACCAACTAAGACAAACACACCTACATGTTTTTGGTTATAAATTTAAGCAGCCAAGAAACGAAATCTTACCCCTTATAACAAACTGGACCGGTATTTTGCTGATTGCATTATTGGTAGTTAGATTAGTCTGTGTCCCATTGGTTTGAGTCAGGGTTATGTTATGCAGGGGAAAGTCCTCCATCACCAGCTGTACTGCATATGGACCTTCATTACTGCTATCAGTGGGGCGGAAGGACAGAGTACAAGACTCCAAAAAGAAAAATAAATTGATGAGATGTTGGGTCCTTGGTAGCTGCCTCAATTCGGTCTCAGCCACCAGTGTCTATCGCTAAAAAAAACCCTCTTCCCGCTCCACCACAACCACCCACACATGCAGGGCCTTGGAGTAGGGGTATGTCACCAGGGTGCAGAGG